TATATTTTGTTTAGGGTTTTTTACATTTTTTTGAGGATTTCTTTCACTTTTAGAGCAACTTTAATAAAAAGTTTTTAGAGTTGGAGATTTATTTTGAGAAGAAAAGGACAAAAAATTTGGAGAGCATAGCTGACCAATATTTTCTTTTGAAAAGAGAAAGTTTAGGGATTAAATGAGTATTTAATTAAAAAAAATAAAATTTTAAACTTTTACTTTAAGATAAAAAAGAATTAGAATATTTAATGAATTTATTAAATTTAAATTTTTAAAATCTAATTTAAACAAATATTGGGAATTAAAATTAAAAAATTAAAATAAAATTTTTTAAAATATTTTTGGACTCAAAATGATAAGAAATATCCCACACTCGTTTTATTTTGATGCACCCGAGAAAAGAAGCTTTTGATCACTCAACTTAACCACTAAAAGTAATTGTAAAGTGGTAGCAATGAGAAAAAAGTATGCAAAAACAAACTAGTTAAGGATCACATATACACACACTAACTAGCAACTGTCTTTAACTTTTTTTTTGGCTTTTTCTCGGCCATTTTAGTTACCTCCCTCTCGTTTCTGTTATATATCCACTTGCGTGTTTTTAACTAGATCACTTTATTCTCTTTTACTTTTTATGCTACATAATGCTACTAATTTGTTGTTTTAACTGTTAGGGACTAAAAATATATAAAATATATGGAATAAATGACTAACAAATATTAAATATAATATGTAAATAAAGAATAAAAAGATATGTAAATACCTAAACAAATTTTAAGAATGAAATGATGAAGAAAAATTAATAAAAAGCAAGGATACTGAGTATGTATGATAAGTTCAAGCATATTTTACCTCATCAAGAGTAATGGAATTAGATGCGGCACGGGATGGAATCTTGCAAAGATGTTACGGTATCCCGTGTCCGAACTCCCGGGGTTTAAGCAACAAACGGCGGCCAGTGAATCACCTCCCGCTAGAAATCTTGAAATTCAATCCCGTTACAGGAGTGATTTTGCCCATACTACCTGAAATCTCTTTTTTCCTCCATATATAACCTATTCCAAGAGATAACCGAATCCATCCACCGTAAGAAAGTGAGGTATGAGAGAGAGGTACTATATTAAAGATGTTTCTTTGCATTCAAAAGCTTTTATTTAAAACACATTCGGGAATTCCCGCGTTTTTTTTTCATTTCTCGTTTTCATCAGGAAATCTGCAGAAAATAAACCGGTTTCCTGGTAGGATCCCAGTCATTTTTGGCAAGGCTAAACTAAAAGCAGGAAATCCCTGAATTCCCAATACTTTGTCCATCCCGGTCTCTTTTCAGTTCCATTTTCCGTTCCCCTAACTATGTACATTGTTTAAAAGTTCAACATTTAATTAGTTGGTCGAGGTCGAGGCCTCGCCGATTTTTCAACCTCGACCTCGATTTTGCTGACCTCGACTTTGAAACCGAGGCTCTCGCCAAAAACTTCGCCGAGAACCGAGAGTAAATATACACCTCTAAGAATTGCCTTTTTGTAAGAAATAGAAGAAATCTGGTTTCTCGAAACTTCCAAGGTTCTCAACCTCAGTCTCGGGTCCATATTTGCCCCTCGACCTCGATCTCGGCTTTTCATCCTCGGTGATCCTCGGTCTCGGATTTTTCAAAAATCCCGACCTCGACCAACTCTACTTTTAATACATGCTTAAACAAAAATATGCAGTTTTTTACGTACTTAAACAGATAAGGCTAGACATGTTTTTTCTCGCTAAGAACCTCGCCGAGGAAGATATACTGTAACTCAAAATTTTGTACTCTCATATGAAGGGAGTATGTAAAAAAAGGAGAGTCAGAAAGTTAGAGATTAAAATTTAAAGGGAGAGAGAAAAGAAAAGATGATATAGTGTTATAATGGAAAGACAGTGAAAGGAAATTTTTCTTAAGCTTTGTTATGAAATAATCACTTTTGAAATCACAAGCCAATTGTTACAAACTTTTTCTAAAAACATTTTAAACCCTTGTATTGATTTTAAATCTACAAAATATTTTTTAAAAAAATTTTCAAAAAATTTCAGTTAAAATGTTATTAAATCGATTTATTTCTCGTCAATTATTAAATCCATCTTCATTCTCCCAAACAAGCAAGTTTTTTCTTTCTTCTTCAAATGTCTGCAATAAAGAAGTTAAAGGGGACCCTGGAATTTCATATCCAGACCCAGAAGCAGGACCTAAAACAGTTGAAGAGAAAATGGGGTTTCCTATGAAGCCAGCTTCGAGTTGGGGGGAATATGCAGTTATGCGTATGGATGATTTAATGAATTTGTGTCAAAAGAATTCTTTATGGTTTTTTTTTAATTTTTGAAAAATTGATTTTTATTTAATTATTTTTAAGGCCTCTTACTTTTGGATTAGCTTGTTGTGCTGTGGAAATGGTAAACAATTTGTAAATCTTTTATAGTTACGCTCTTGGGGTTTAAATTAAGGTGGAAATCATTTTACAATTTTTAACGTGCAGGCGAATATTTTGATAATTTAAAAGGCCGAAGTAAAAAAAGATCATCACTCACTGGCTAAGTGCCTATCTATAAGTGAAGTTTCGCTGTATGTTTATCTAACAAATCAGGCCCGTAACCATGGGGAAGTGAAAAAGGAAAAAAATTCAGGGAGGGGATGGAGAGTAAGAGTAGTGAATTTTTTGGCCAACGGTCTTCCAAAATTGTAAAAATTTTCCTGTGGCGCCAAAAATTCGGCGGCGTCCCCCCGAAAAAATTTAATATTAAATTTCTGATATTATTTTCAGACATCTTTTATAATTATTAACCCTAAAAAATTAAACATTTTAAATTTTGTTTGGTAATTCTTCGGTTCGTACCCCCCACTCTTTTTTTCTCCCTAAAAGAATTAAAAATGGTCAGTCAGTCTTAAGTTATAGAACCCATCGAGCTGTGTCGAATACACCAAAATCGACAAAATCCGACTTGATTGGACCGAGATACAGACCCCTGAAAATTGAAAAACCACAGGGGCCAAAAACCAAAAGGACGAAAAAGCATACATATGATAGCTCATTCGAAAGAGCTCGTCGAGCTGAGTCGAATGACACCAAAATCAACGTAATCGGATAAGTTTTGACAAAGTTATGACATAAGGTTGCCGACTCCGGTAGGTCTAAATAATGTCATAACTTTGTCTAAACTCGTCCGATTACGTTGATTTTGGTGTCATTCGACTCAGCTCGACGAGTTCTATAACAAAAGATTGACTGACCATTTTTTAACACTTTGAGGAAGGAAAAAGGAGTGGGGGTACGAACTGAAGAATTACCTTTTGTTTTGTTTAAAATTTTGTAATTATTTTAACTTTGTAACTTTCTAGATGCATTTCGCTGCTCCTCGTTATGATATGGATCGTTATGGAGTTGTCTTTCGTGCTTCTCCAAGACAAGTATATTTTAAATTAATTTTCCTTTTTTAAATTAATTTTTAAGGTTAATTTAATAATTGTTTCTGGCACCGTAACAAATAAAATGGCCCCCGCTTTGCGAAAAATTTTTGATCAAATGCCCGACCCCAAATTTGTAATTAGCATGGGATCTTGTGCAAATGGTGGTGGTTATTATCATTATGCATATTCTGTACTTAGAGGCTGTGACAGAGTTATTCCTGTTGATATTTGTTTGTTTTTTTGGGGGTTTTTGGATTTTTAAAGAATTTTTTCTTATAGATGTTCCTGGATGCCCGCCATCAGCAGAAGCTCTTCTTTATGGTGTTTTACAATTACAAAAGAAAATGAAAAGAATGAAAAGGGTTCAGTTATGGTATAGAAAATAGACATAAAATTTAGATAAATTAGAGTTGTATTTTAATTTTGATTATTAAAAATTGTTTAAAAAATTATTAATATATATTTCCCTTTCATGCAAAGAATTTGTAATGGATTTTGTTATATTTGGCTTTTAACTGTTAAATTATAAATTGTTTATATTTTTTGAAAAATAATTTGTCTACAAATGTGACAAAATCCAAATTAATTATTTTTGCTTTAAAATCTTTAATCAAGTTGTCCAAGTCAATTGACTAAAATATACTTCTGAATGCTCACATATTAAATAATTCTTTTAGGTGTGCGAGAAACAACAACTTTTTTTTGTAAAAACTTGAATGAGTGGTGGAAACATTTCATTCTCTAAGAGTGAAATAGAAGCTTGTCAGGTAAGAAGTTTTCGTGTTGTGTGTTTTTGTTGTTTGAGTTTGTCGGTTCGATTCCGTTCTGATTTAAAGTTAACTGGCAGGTGAGTTAACACTCGGCGAAATGTCCGTTTTTGCCTTTTGTGGCGAATTGACCTAGTTGCTGAGGAGTGTGAAATAGTCGGTGTTTTTGACTGGTTTTTTATTTGTTGAAGAGCAATGCTGATTGTTTTGCATTTTAATGTTTCTTTGGAATTTTTTTTATTCACCCTATTGATTTATAAAATAACTTTTTTAGTTCTTAGCCATTCTAAAATATAATTAATATTTCATATCGATTTTTACATTAATTTGTTATGAGCTGGCTTGTATTATCGCAAAGAGCAAATTTAATTATTTCCTTTTATTAAAAGTCAATTTTTGTTAACCTTATTAAACCGATAATTAAATTGATGCTCTTTTAACTTCTAGTTACATTAACTTTTTTGAGGGGCCACGATCCCCAATTGGCTAAGAACTTTGTTTTAATTCTCGATATTTCTAACGATATTTAATTTTAGGAAGCAGTCAGAAATTTTCGTGTTCAAGAACTTCAACAATTAGTTTCAAGTTTTAAATATCCAAAAATTGGAAAGAAAAACGAACTTATTAGTCGAGCAGAATCACTACTTAAAAATCCAAGATTTCAAGCTAGCGCTGTAGCAAAAGTCCACGAGATTCAGGCATCAAATCGAATTCGTGACAGTTCACAACCATATCCTTCTCAACCAGAAAGAGGACTTGGAAATCAACAACTTAACGGAACAATGCCTAATAATCGTATGTTTAGTTAATTAATGATTCTTTTTTATCAGAGATCATCGTGTAAAAAGCTAATCTGGAAATTGTTTTTAGAAATGCATCCATCAAATCAGCAACCAGGAATTTATGGTTTTAATGCTGCTGCTCCACCAATGTCTCAATTTCCGGGTGGATTTGGAAATTTTATGAATTATGCGGCTGCTTATGGACAGCAATTTCAAGGAGGCCCTGCCTATCAGCCTAACAACTTTAGTCAGTCATTGCCGCCTCAAAATCAGCCTCACTACATTCCTCCGCAGCACTCTCAAGGAGGATTGGTTCGCAATTTGCGTACAGTTGAACTTCCGTTTTATGATCTTTTTAAGGTTTCAATTTTTAACTTCGTTTGATTTATTTTATCGTTTCGTTTTTTGCACACCATATAAACATCTAATTTTTGTGACGTTTTTAGGTAATTGTCCCGATGACAGAACTTCCATCTTATCCTGTTCCAACTCGTCCTGGTGAAGGTCGTTTCTCTTGTACTTTTGGTGTCTCCGCAGACGATATTGGTAAATTGGCATATCCTGAGGACCAAAAACTGCCGAGATATGAGCTTCAGTTACGAATGTTTCTTTTGGAAAATTCCGAGGAACAGCCCGATGCTTTTCCTCCAGGCTCTGCAGTTCGATTGGATGATTTTAATGTTAATCTTCCTGTTAGTTTTTTTTTGTTCTGACATTAATTATAAATATTTGTTTTAAGGCAATTATACCAACAAACAAACCAAATGCCGAACATAAGCGTTATTCTCGACCGGTGAATATCACCCCTTATTGTAGACCGCCTCGTAGTAAAGATCGTCCACATCGTCTGAATTTTGAGTGGAATGGCGATAAACGTGCTTGGGCTTTTACGGTTTATACTCATGAGTAATTTTATTTTTATAATTTTTTAGGTTTTGCTTGTTAAACGGGTTAATTCTGATATTCTTCTTGCACGTATTCGTGAAAATCCGAACGCATCACGTCCAGCTTCTACCACTAGAGATAATATTATTCGACGTCTCAGTGGTGATGAAGATGATGTTCAAATGGATTCTTGCAAGATTTCTCTGGTTGATCCGGTAACTTATTTTTTAGATTTATTTTAATATTTCTGTTGCCTAGCTTGGTCGTATGCGCATTAAAATTCCTTCTCGTGCTGCCGATTGTACTCATTTACAGACCTTTGATTTATACAACTATTTGATGATGAATGAAAAGCGACCTGGTTGGAAATGTCCAGTTTGTGACAAGAATGCCATTTACTCTAAATTAATTATTGATAAGTGAGTTTATGTTACAATGAATTTTAGTTGTACGAATTACTGACCTCCTTGACTTGCAACAAATAAGAAATTTTTTTCTATCTAACCCCATTTTGCTATTTGTTAGTTGTATTTGAGGTTTTTAATTTATTGAACATCTTTTTCAGATACTTCGAAGATGTACTTAAAAGCGTCAGCAGTTCTGTTGAAGAGATTGAATTACTCCGTAATGGTTCATGGGGTCTTCCAAAGGTCAATGATACAATTTCTTTGTGTAGTGATGAAGACGCTGCAATGGCTGATGCTGACGATGATGATATCATGATTGTGGATCCTGCTAAAACTAAGCCATCAAAAACTGTTGATAAGAAAAAGACAGACAGTGTTTCAACTGAAAGTGTCGCTCATCAACAAGAACCACCGCAACCAACTGTGATTATTCCAAAAACGTCGGTTACTGAACCTAAACAACAACGAACCTCATCTTCTAATACATCGAATGCGCCAAAGAAGAAACCGGTAAGTTTTTCTAAATGTTAAACTTTGGGCCCTGGTCTAGTTTATGCGTCCAATGAATCTTTACGAGTCTAATGAAATAAATGGTTATAAGTCCAATGAATATAATATATAAGTTAACTCGAAATTTTATGATCCAATTTTTTATAAAATAAATTCAAAAAATAAACGATTAAACTGTAAATTTTTACAGGTCATTCCTGAGGAGGATATCATTGAGCTAAGCAGCGATGACGAGGATGACAGACTGGCTACCGCAATTAGTGTCTCGCAGCTTAATGATGCCTCTGCTGCAGCAGGTACGCCAAACAGCAATGCTTCTGGTGGTGCTGGAAGTGGTGGAGGAGGTGGAGGTGGATCCGTGGTATGCAGATCCTCTTCCGTATCAACATCAAAAAGAAGGGAAAATGGCCAGTTAGAGATAACCAAATATTTCAATCGGATTGTTCACTAATTGTTTTTAGTCCAATTATTTTACGACGTGGCATCCCAATTTTTAGAAATTTTATGCAAATTGAAATGCGTGGCCATTTGCCCTTTATTAAATTTAACACAGAATCCTTTTTTGAGATTGGGATGTTGTGTTTTTAGTCTTTCATTTTTGCCAACCATAATATTATCCTCCATTTATAAAACTAGATATTTTACTTTAATATTTGCGAATTTTGGGGTAGTTTCCCATTTTACATTTGATCCAAAAACCTTCGCAAAAGAATCCAGATTTGATATTCCTAACAATTTATATTATTTATTTTTGCAGAATATTGGCCAATCGCCGCAGAGCCACGCTACCCGACGAGGTGGAGTATCAGGAACAGGGGGAAGCAACAGTCACAATGATACTCGCCAATCAAACGGTTATAATAGCAGCACAAGTAATACCAGTACCTCATCTGCCACACCTCCTTTTCTTCACAACAACAACGGACAACTACCGGGTATTTTCCGACCATCAATTGACGAAGTGGCAAGAACTAAGGTTGCACAAAATTTGGCCAATTTTTTGCAGAATGTCTACACCAAAAACAAAAGTAGCCAACAACAATGTGGCCCTCCTTTCCGAAGCTCTTGAAACCCCATTTTTGGAAAAATGCCCGTAAATTTTTAAAATATTTTGTTATAAATTGTTTTGATGTGTCTTTATAAAATCCTCCCTGAATCATTCCCATCCTTTATTTTGTCCGTAGTTCTTGTTTTGAAAGATTGATATTTTAATTTTATTCTTTTAAAAACTGCCTGAATGAAATGAACGTGTTTCATTTCGGAATTTCTTATGTAGATTTGAGATAAAACGCGTATAGTTTTTAAAATATCTTTTTTTTAATAATTCGTTCTTGCTTTTGTATGATTAAGACGACAATTTTTCTTTTACAATAAATACTTGAATCTTCATCCGCACTTTTATTATCGGATTTTTCCTGTTTATAATAAATGATATTTGGTTGTATTGAAAATGCTAGTATTTTTAAATATAATCCTTATGAGATCTCTTGAGTTTGAAAAATAGGTTGCCCCTTCAACTGCGGTGAATATTTTTTCGAGTATAGGGTTGGTTTTGGATAAATCTAGGTTAAAGTTTATGAATATATTTTTTCTACATTATTCTCAATTTACAGTCACGGACAAAAGTTTGGACGCAAACGATTTTCAAACTTTTTTTCCGAATATTTCTATTAAAATCAATAATTAAAAAAACAAATTTTTTGTAAAATAATGCTCCTATTATGAACTTTAATATACATAAACAAAATACTGGTAAACTTTATAAAAAAAATTTTTCTGCTATTTAACCAAAAAAGGGGGTGGACAAAAGTTTGGACGCAAATTTTTAATAAAAAATATCTTACAGTATAATGGTCCAAAAAATCTACAAAAATTTCTGTAAACATCTCCATTGATATTGAGTAGAAAAGAAAAAAGAATGAAGTCAGAAACTTCTTTTTTCATCGAGATCTCGAACCTCAAAAATCAACGGAAAATGGGGGTACAGTACTTTAAAAAATATTTTAACCCCCTGGAGCATAAATAAAAATTTTTCTTTTGGGTCCATTAAAGAGCCCATAAAATTTCCTACAAAATAGTCCTGGTCTCATTTATTCTAAAAAATGGTTCTTCGAACTGCAGACACTTTTACATAAAAATGGTCAAAAAACCCCTAAAATACCCCAATAATGATAACTTAGAAAATTGCCTCGACTCTGTCTTCATGAGTTTTTATTGGAAAAATAAAAACTTGTATTATTTTGTAGAAATTTTATGGGCTTTTTAATGGGCCCAAAAGAAAAATTTTTATAAAAGCTCTAGGGGGTAAAAATATTTTTTAAAGTACTGTACCCCTATTTTCCGTTGATTTTTGACATTCGAGATCTCGATGATGGAAGAAGTTAAGGACTTCGTTCTTTCTGTTTTTCTATTCTATATCATTGGAAATGTCCACAGAAATTTTTGTGGATTTTTTGGACCATTATACTGTAAGATATTTTTTATTAAAAATTTGCGTCCAAACTTTTGTCCACCCCCTTTTTTGGTTAAATAGCAGAAAAATTTTTTTTATAAAGTTTTTAAGTATTTTGTTTAAGCATATTAAAGTTCATAAACGAAGCATTATTTTACAAAAAATTTGTTTTTTAAATTATTGATTTTAATGAAAATATTTCAAAAAAAAAGTTGGAAAAATGTTTGCGTCCAAACTTTTGTCCGTGACTGTATATTAAAATGACAAAAAATACATACACATATTATTTATGAAGAAAATTTTAATCTTTGTAATTTATATTTATTAAAAATTTGTCTATCACGAATTGATGATTTCTTTTTGGTATTTTATGTAGAGTAGATTGTAGGGGATAAATAAAACGTGGATCAAATTTCGGTGCGAATCATGTCGATTTGTTTATGTTGACTGATAGGGAAAAATGCAATACTATGGAAAGAACAGAAATCAAAGTAAACAAAGAATATAAATGTTTATATGGGAAAATGGAGGGAGAGATAGTATTTGGCCGTTAGATAATGATTTTAAATTATCTTTAAAAGCACAATTTAATCCTTCAAATCATCATGCTTTTAATAGCGAACAAAAAATTAAAAGTGGATTAAATAATTGAGCTCTAGTATAGTATGTAGGAAGAAGACCGGCCTAGCGATATAAAAATGAAGATGATAAATGGGGAAATTATAGTATAGAGGGCTCTGTTTGTTGTTGCATTTCTGCAGACTTCCAGTTATTTAACTGTCCTTGTTGGTGGTGATCTAACCGTAACCGTTTTTCAGGTGGTGGTTCTGTTTTTATATGTTGTGTGTCCCGTTGTTGTTCGTGTGAAGAAGGTTCTGATTTGAGCATATGTTGCTGCTGTTGAGGGTATTTGTTGCCAAGTTGTTGGTGTTCATATAGCCATTGTTCCATTGAACCCTAAAAAGAAAGAAATTTTTGTTGCTAATCCTCTAGAAAACAGACGTGATGTCCTCCTCCTCCACTCATCATCATTTGAGGTTGTGGTGTTAATGATTGAGGTGGCAATGACGAAGGAGGTAACAACCCGTAAGGCGTTGAAGCTGGCCGTTGATGTCCACTGCTGTGTAATTGTTGGTATTGTGGACTACTATCTCTACTTATTAATTGTTGTTGCTGTTGATGAATTAATGGGTCAACAGTTCCGGCGGTTAAAGAATGTCCAAGAACGGGAGCAGTCGTTGTCGATGAATTAGGTGAATATGCACACGTATTGGGTACTAATGCACCGGAAGAGGAACCAGAGGAAGAAGAAGTTGAGGCGAAAAGCTAAATAAAAAATCTTTTAATTATTCTTAGATTTTTAAATAAAATTTTGTAGTTTATATTGAATAATTAGTAGTTTTGGAATATTTTTTGATAAATTAATTTTTTGAAAACTGTTTTTACTACAATTTAGCACTTATTTTTTTAATTTTATTAATTACATATATTCTTTTTAGTTTGACAAATTTAATTATTACTAGAAAAATTTTTCAAAATTTTTTCTCTAAATTTTATACTTTAACCCTTTTTTCTCTTTTAGACTTCTCCAAATATTTAATATATAATTTAATAATATTCCTAAAAAATGTTCTTTCCCTTTTTTAATACAAATGTGCCAAAAACGAAGTGAAGAAAAATGAAACAAATGATTAAATAAGGAAAAGAAAAAAAAGAAAAATGGCCAAAGATGGAAATTAAAAAATGCTTCCCACTGAGAAAAATGTAATTTTCTACAAGCCGGAAGCCTTTTTTGCTATTTTCTTTGAATAAAAAAAGTTAATAGAATTTTTTTATTCCTAGAAAAAATAAGCGTTCTCATCCTTTAAAGGTTTTCACCTATTTATGTAAATACTCTATATTTAGATTAGGAAAAGAAAGATGATAAAATATAAATTTATGGAAAGATAAAATACTGAAATTTTGTAGAAAAAAAATATTTTTTAAAATAATTATTTATTTATTTCCCTCACCTGATGTACAATTCTTGGTGGTTGTTGTTGCTGTATTTGTTGTTGTTGTTGTCTTGCAACAGATGCTCCCAGAAAAACATTGTTTTGGCCAAAAATGTGTTGTGCTATGTTTTGAACACCGTTAAAGTCTGAATAGGGTGGGGGTGGCACTCCTGTTGGTGAAGGATCGCCTTTAAACAAAGGAGTTTAAAGAGTTTTTAATTTTTTTTCACCTCCACTTCCCCCTCCATTTGCATATTGAGCAGCTGCCGCTAAAGCATTAGCAGCAGCAAATCCCCCTCCTCCATTACCATTTCCCCCATTATTTTGTTGTTGGCCTAACATTGCCATTTGTTGAGCTAATACAGAATTACCTCCACCCCCGTTATGATGATGATGGGCAGCAGCTAAAGCAACAGTAGCTGCCAAATCAGCATTTGAATTAATTAATCCTGTTGGGGTTGGTGGAGGAGAAAAATCATCATCAGAATCAACACCCGCTCCCTGTTTACATTCTTTTCGTTGAAGTGTTTCCATTATATCGTTATTTGTACGACTTTCGTGTGGCTCATTATATTCTGTATACCTTTAAATTAAAATTTTGATCAGTCTCTCATTTATATACAGTGGCGGCAATATGTTTACGACCAATGGATTAAAAAAATGAAAACCCCAGTAACTCGATTAATTTATCTCGGACGAATTTGGTGTAAGTATATTTTTTGTAGCATTTTTTATTGGCTATCGATTGATACCAAACATTTTTCAAAATCCTTATTTTTTCGAAAGTAATCCTAGACAATCGTATTTTAGGGTGGAAAAATGTTTACGACCACTTTGGTTTTTTTTATTTTAATTGGTGCAAAAATTCTGTAAAAATTTCTGTGGACATTTCCATCAATACCGAGTGTAAAAATAAAAAGAACGAAGTCTGTACCTTCTTTTTTCATCAAGATCTCGAATTTCAAAAATAAACGGAAAATGGGGGTACAGTACTTCAAGAATTATTTTAACCCCCTAGAGCTTAATCGAAAAAATTTCTTTTGGGCTCATTTGAAAGCCCATAAAATTTGCTACAAAACAGTCCTTGTCTCGTTTATTCTAAAAAATAGTTGTTCGACTTACATCCACTTTCACATAAAAATGGTCAAAAATCCACTAAAATACCCCAAAAATGATAACATGAAATGTGAAAGTGGATCTACCTCAAATAGACATATTTTTAGAAAAATTAAGCATTGACTGTTTTGTAGCAAATTTTATGGGCTTTCAAATGAGCCCAAAAGAAATTTTTTCGATTAAGCTCTAGGGGGTTAAAATAATTCTTGAAGTACTGTACCCCCATTTCCCGTTGATTTTTGAGACTCGAGATTTCGCTGAAGAAAAAAGGTACAGACTTTGTTCTTTTTACTTTTCTACTCAGTATCGATTGAAATGTTCACAGAAATTTTTTCAGAATTTTTAGATGAATTAAAGTCGGAAAACCCAAAGTGGTCGTAAACATTTTTCCCTCCTAAAATACGATTGTCTTAGTTAATATTGTTATAACTTTCGAAAAAATAAAGATTTTTAAAAATGTCTTGTATGAATAGATAGCCAATAAAAAATGCTACAAAAAACATATTTACATCAAATTCATCTAAGCTGATTCAATCGATCTATAGATGGTTTTATTTTATTTTAACAAGTGGTCGTAAACATATTGCCGCCACTGTATTTTTTTTCAATTTTTAATATTAATTTTTAAAAATGGATCAAAATTAGTATTTTTTAACAGAAAAATCTCTTTTAATTTATTTTGTTCACTACCTTAACAAAACTTTATCCATATCTGTACTGGCATATTGGAAAAGTCGATTAGAAGAATTAAATATAATTAATGCAATTTCACAATCACAGAGAACAGACAATTCATAAGCTTTCTTCATTAATCCAAACTTTCGTTTTGTGAAAGTTACCTTTAAAAATTTTCAAATTCATTCTTTTTTTCTTCCCTTCCCTCTCCACTCTACCTGTCTATTCCGCTCATCCGCAATACGTGTAATTTGAATTTTCTTTCGTCCCATTCTACGCTTGTTTGGCTGCTGTAAAGCAGCGGCAGCTAAAGATAGTTTTTATTAATTTTTTGAGTCTTTTTTTATTTTTAAATAAAGTTTTTTTGACACAAATGTTTTTTGTATTTTTTATTGTTTTTTAATTAAAACGCTCAATTTTTGACTATTTTAATTTTCTACCTGCCGCCGCCTGATGGGCTGAGCCTCCGCCCTTCAGTGGATGCGGATGGGAGGCCAACGACTGAGCCGGGCCTTGTAATGGATGTTGGTGCTTAAAAATGTAAAAATAATTTAAATTTTAAATATTTTTAGTTAAAGAATTTTATCAAGAGATGTATTATTTTTGTGATCAAGTGGTTTAGGGAGTTTAATTCCAAAGAGATTAATTCTAAAGTTGGAGAAAGTTTAGAATGCAAGGGAAGTTGTATTTCAAAAAAGGTGAAAAATAAACGGCAAATTTGGGGCACAATTCATTTATGGCATAACTTTTCTCAAAGTTGATAAAAACCGAAAATTCTTTTCACACCTTGAGAAAATTTACCAATTAAAATAAAAAGCATCTCAGATAATCAAAACAAAAATACATATATATTAAAAATTATTTTTAAAATTCAAAAGAAATTTACCTGATACAACTGTTGCCCACCACCTCCGACGTTAAATTGTTGTTGTTGTTCAATAAAGTGTTGCTGTTGTTGTTGTGGAGTTAAAAAATGAGAAGTAAAAGAAGAGGAAGAACTGCTTCCGCTGCTACTTGGTAAAGAAGAGAACAATTTTTGATGTTCTAATGATTGTTGTGATTGAAATAATGATGGGTGGACTTTAATTAAAAAATAATTGTTTAAAATAATGTCACAAATTAAAATTTATTTTTTACCAGAATGCTGAAGAACGGGAATACCTCCACCTGGGAATTGGGCCACTGCTGCTGTTTGATGTTCCGAAGTCTCAATTGCTGCAGTTAAATATTAAATGCCTTTTTGTGGCTAGCTAGTTTTTGAATAGCTTGGCAACAATTTTTGTGGCTTTTGTTGGGAGAAAATATATGTGGATGGAGAAAAAACCCTTTTATTTTTTTATAAAGGTTTTTAGGGAATGGCAATTTTTATGGCCAAAAATGAAAATAGAAAGAAATACGGCTTTTTAACTTGTAGTGAACGATTAATGATTGATTGATAGCCGCTTAATGAAGATATTTTTTAAATCTTAAATTAATAATTATATTAAATCTTAATACATATTTTAAATCTTAAAAAATTCATTTAAAATACATATTTGTTTTTAAAATATAGGAAAAATAAATAAAATCTTTAAAAAACCAAAAATAACATTCTAATTAATTTTATAAATATTTATTTATCTAATTTTGAAAACGATAAAGTAGTATGTATATTAAACAATTAACGAGGGAATGTAATTTTAGGGTAAAAGATTACTACTCGCTTTTCTTGGTTCTTCTGCTCTACACGATGGTATATGTAAAGTTTTTGGGATTTGAACTAAGAAGGGACTGTCCTAGAAGCTTTGGCCATAAGAAAAACAAAGAAATATAACTTAATTTCACTGAGGATCCAATACAATTAACAATTTAATGAATTTATTTAATTATAATTTTGCCTAGGGACGCATGTCCTACAATATTTATTTCTCTTTTTCTTCTTTTTAATAAGTAGATGTTAATTGAACATGCGGTAAAGGATAATTTTAAGAAAGTGAAGAAGATTACAAGTCCCTAAAGTAGCAGTTAAAGTAAAGTCACGCGAATATTTAAAAATAAAAGGGGAAATATAAAATGCTTTGATATATTATGAAAGTTAGAGGGGCACACGGTAAAAGGGAAAAATAAAATCGATTGACACGGAGAAAATTATGAAACACACATGAATATTTGGGGAATGATGGAGAGTTGAAATTTAGAGGGTCGAGATTTTGAAAAAAAAATTATTTGTTTACTAGTTAAATGGTCAAAAAGAATTTTTTAGTATCGAGGTTTACATACAAATATTTGCTAAAATAATTACCCAGGGTAATTATTGTTGCAACCTCTCGCTGGAGGGGGTAAATAAAAGGGAGGGGGTAATTATTATTAATTACCTCCTACACCCCCTCTGGGTGTAGGGGGTAATTAATAAGGCGGGGGTAATTAATAGGGCGGGGGTAATTGTTTAAGAGAGTAATTTGTCTCTTTTTCTTCTTTTTTAGAAAAAAAATTTTTTTAAGGAAATAAAATTTATTTTTTAAAAGGCCTCGAATATCACAAAAAATCTTTTTTATTTCGAGACTCTCGACATTCCAACTATCCAATAAATCATTGGAAGTTTTTTCAAAAAAGTAGACACGAGTGTTTAGAAAAGATAAAAATTAAAAAAAGAAAAGGAATGGGACCGCCCGGCTGGTTCTTCTTCTTAACGTTTGCCTTGATTTCGTCTTTTCTTTTTTTATTTTACTTAAAGACTGATCAAAATGAAGGTTATAAATATATTTTTAAAAAAAGAAAGAAAAGAGAGATCAAAGTTCAGTTTTTAAGTGAAATTGAAGAAGAAGAAAATGAAGATTTTGACAAATAAAAAATGATTATGATGATGTTCTCTAATGAAAATTAACGGGGAGAGAGAGAAAGAATGAAAGAAGTTTTGGCTTTAAAAAATTAAATTTTGAGAGAAATATTTAAAAAATAAAAAAATATTTAAATTAATATATAGACCGACAAATTTATTACTAATTTAGAATTCTACATATGTACTATATTTCAAAAGTTAACTTAAGGAATTGTTTAATTTATTAGGTTAAATATTCGATTGATAAATTAATAAATTTAGGCAAAATTAAATAATAAAAATTTAAAAACAAATATTAATAATTATTTTATTTGAATTTTAAAATAATTTTGGTAGAGATCTCCAAAAATAAAAAAGGAAAGATTGGGGTAAATATGTAAATGTTTACTTTTTAATTTTATGTAAAAATTAGTAGAAGTTTATTTTCTCGCTAATTTATTTTTAAAATAATTTTTATTTAGCTAAATTTAATTTTTATTTAAAATAAAATTTAAAAATTCTTTTAAATTTATTTAAAACAATTTTCATCGATTTAAGCATAAAAAAGGAAATTAAAAAATAGAAAGTGAAAAAAAGGAAAGGATGAAAAAAGAATTGTGGGGGGGGGGGGGGGAAGGGTGTGAAGGTCGAAAAAAGAACACGGCTGGCTGGTTGCTTAGGCCAACCAAAATGGAAGGGGAAAAAAGAGACAAACGGCATTCATTCATTTTGCCTTTATGTTTAGAAAGGGTTCTGTGTAAGTAGTAGAAAGTGGCGTGTTACGGAATGTTAAAGGGGGGAAGGGAAGGAGGAGGTTGTCATTTATTTTACAAGTAAAAGATGATTAGTAGATAAATAATGGAGGGGGAAGGAAGGGAAAGGAAGGGAAGGGAAGAAATAAATAATTATATATATTTAATATTTTAAAGAAAAATTAAAAGGATTGTAAAAATCATATAGTAATTAAAAAAGCCATTTAAAAAACACCGGAAGA